AGAGAGAGAGAGAGAGAGAGAGAGAGAGAGAGATAGAGAGATAGAGAGAGAGAGAGACAGACAGACAGACAGACAGACAGAGCAAGAAAGCAAGAGAGGGGGCAGGGCACATAGATAAGAGATAACACTAGGTGGCGTATGTGTCGCACCTCAAAGGCGAGCCAGCTGCCGACGTCTACGTCCGGCATCATGACGTCGGCCAGGATGCAGTCGAGTCCTGCGCACGTGGGTCCCCAGATGCTGGTACGGCACTTTCTTTTACCCTCGTCTTCCACCGCCTGCCGGGGAGAGGAAGAGGGCGGACATGTATATATATGTTTTTTATCTTCAGTTCGCCTCCGCTAGATCCAGCCTTCCTAGCTTTCTACTATATATTCTATGGTAAAGTAATGTTTAAAGGTTGCCGGTTTCGGTCTAGGAGGGGAGGAGGACTGCTATTTTAAATAATTACTTACCTCTAGTAAGGTAGGAAAGGGTTGACATACATCTAGCAACGTATGCAAGGGTTGACATACCTCTAGCAATGTGGGAAAGAGTTGGCCTACCTCGAACAATGTAGGAAAGAGTTGACATACCTCTAGCAATGTAGGAAAAGGTTGGCCTACCTCTAGCAACGTAGGAAAGGTTGACATACCTCTAGCAAGGTAGGAAAAGGTTGACATACCTCTAGCAACGTATAAAAATGTTTATATACCTCTAGCAACGTAGGAAAGGTTGACATACCTCTAGCAAGGTAGGAAAAGGTTGACATACCTCTAGCAATGTAGGAAAGGGTTGGCCTACCTCTAGCAACGTGAGAAAGGGTTGACATACCTCTAGCAACGTATAAAAAGGTTTACATACCTCTAGCAACGTATAAAAGGGTTGACATACCTCTAGCAACGTATAAAAGGGTTGGCCTACCTCTAGCAATGTAGGAAAGGGATGACATATCTCTAGCAAGGTAGGAAAGAGTTGGCCTACCTCTAGCAACGTCGGAAAGGGTTGACATACCTCTAGCAACGTATAAAAAGGTTTATATACCTCTAGCAACGTATGAAAGGGTTGGCCTACCTCTAGCAATGTAGGAAAGGGATGACATATCTCTAGCAAGATAGGAAAGATTTGGCCTACCTCTAGCAACGTCGGAAAGGGTTGACATACCTCTAGCAACGTATAAAAAAGTTGGCCTACCTCTAGCAACGTATAAAAAGGTTGGCCTAC